CTTAAGCCAATCTTACCAAAAGAGAGAAAGACTCAAATCCCTGCAATTAGGAATAAGAAGGAAGAAATCACAACAAGTCCTTCAGAAATCCAGATAACCATCAATATCTACTTGGAGAACCTGTATAGTAATAAAATGGAAAGCACAGAAGAAATGGACAGATTCCTAGATGCATATGAATTGCTAAAACTGAATCAAGAAGATATAAAAATTCTAAATAACCCAGTATCACTGATTAAAATCAAATAGTTAAAAACTTACCAACAAAGAAACGCCCAGGTCCTGACAGAATCACTGCTGAATTCTACAAGATATTTAGAGAAGATCTAATGTAGTACTGAAACTCTTTAGTGAAACTGAAAGGGAAACAATACCCAAAATCATTCCTGGAAGCAAGTATTATCCTGATGCCAAAACCAGAGAAGAACCCAACCAAAAAGAAAACTACACGCCAACCTCCCTAATGAACACAGACTCAAAAATCTTCAATAAGATACTCGCAAATAGAAAGCAGCAAATCATCAAACGATTATACACCATGATCAAGTGGGATTCATGCCACAGCTGTAGAGACAGTTCAACACACATAAATCAATAAATGTAATAGTATACCATATTAACAGAGCAAAGGACAAAAATCACATGATCTCAACAGCCATAGAAAAAGCTATGATGAAGTTCAATGCCCATTAATGATAAAAAAACCCCACAGAAAATTGGAGTAGAAAGTATTTTTTAAAAAATTTTTATTTAAAGAAAGACTAAACAAAACAGAAAATAGGTAGAAATAGTACATACGTTCAGAGAAAAAAATAAACAGTAAGAAATTACTAGTTGATGTCGTTTTCCAAATAGTTGTTCAAGGTACAAAAATGGAACATGTAAAGTGGGAATTCAAACAGAAAGACTGCAAAAAGTTCTGTTAAACTGTCCAACAAAAACTTAGTAACATGGTTGTCAATCCTATACACTTAAACATACATGCCGTTATCCATATCTTCATTTATGTTTAAACAAACTAAAGCAGGTTAAAATCATTCTGAACAAAGAATAATAGTATTGCTGGATTTCACATCATTGGACACTCCATGATCAGCACTGGGTACTGTAGTGTCTTGTTTTTAAAATTGAATTTAAAGAAAGACTAAACAAAACACAAAACAGGTAGAAATAATACATTTCAAAGAAAAAAATAAATAGTAAGAAATCACTAGTTGATGATTACAGATGGTCTTCTTAAAAACAGTTGGAATAGAAAATCTTTATCTTAATCTGTTAAAAGTCATTTATGACAAACCAACAGCCAACAATCATATTAAATGATTAAAAAGTTTTCACTCTAAACTCAACAAGAAAAGAATATCTGCTATCACCACTCCTATTCAATGTAGTTCTGGAGGCAGTAGCCAGACCAATTAGACAAGAAAAAGGATAGGAAAGGAAGAAATAAAATTATCATTATTTGCAGACACCATGATACTCTAGAAGACTCCAAAAACCACCAAAAGACTTCTAGATTTTTTTTTTTTTTTTTTTTTTTTTGGTATCCGGGATTGAACTCACGACCTAGCACTTGCCAGGCAGGCACTCATACTGCTGAGCTAAACCCCGGGCCCATATTCTAGATTTAATATCCAAATTCAGTAGCATACCCAGATACAAAGTCAATATTCAAAAACCAATACTGGGATTGAACTCATGACTTCACAGTTGCCAGGCAGGTGTCTAAGCCACTGAGCTAAAAATCCCCAGGCCCACCAATACCATTCTTGTACAAAAACAAGTGTACTGACAGAGAATTTAAGGAACCTACACCTTTTACAATAGCATTTTTTAAAAAACCCCAAATAATCTAACATCTATACACTGAAAATTATAGTATTCTGAAAAAGGTGATCAAAAAGGATATTAGAAATGGAAAGATATGCCTTGCTCATGGGTAGGAAGAACCAATATAGTGAAAATGGTCATACTTCCAAAATCGTTAAACAGATTTAATGTAATCCCAATCAAAATACCAATAGCACATCTCACAAAACGTAAAAATTCATTTGGAACCAGAAGAGACCTAGAGTAGCAAAAACAATTCAAGGCAACAAAATCAGGGAGTATCAAAATTCCTGACCTGAAATTATACTACAAAGTTACTATGATAAAAATGGTATGGTACTGGCAAAAAACAGATCTGAGAATCAATGGAACAGATCAGAAGATGCAGAAACAACTCCAAACACACTGAGTCACGTTATCTCTGACAAAGGGGTCAAATATGTTTACTGGAAAAAAGCTTCTTTAATAAATGGTACTGGAAAAATGGATTTACTCAAGCCAAAGACTAAAACTAGACCCATGTCTCTCATTGTGCAGTAAACTGAAATTGAAAAGGATCAAAGACCTAAATATTAAAACTGAAACACTAAATCTGCTGAAAGAGAGAAGTTAAAATCCTTGGAGACATAGGTGTAGGCAAAGATTTCATGAACAAAACCATGACTGCACAGGAACTATTAAAAAGAATTAACAAAGCTTTGCACATCAAGAGAGACCACCAACAGAGTGAAGAGACAACCCACAATATGGGAGAAAATGTTTTCCAGCTGTTCCTCAGACAAAAGATTACTATCAAGAACATACAAAGAACTAAAAACAAAAACAAAAACAAAAACAAAATCAGTCCTCCCAGATTTAAAGGTCTAATCCAAAAATGGGCATGAAATGGGCACTTCTCAGATAAAGAAATATAAACAGCAAATAAATGTATGAAAAAATGTTTTAATTTTCATCTCTCAAATGATACTGAACAACACTGAGATTCCATCTCACCTCAAAAAGAATGGCTATCATCAAGAAATTAACCAATAACATATGCTAGCGGAGATGTGGGAAGGAAAATAACCTTTCTCCACTGTTAGTGGGAGTGCAGACTTGTGTAACAAGGCAATCAGTGTGGAGATGTTACAAGAAGGTATCTTAGAGGTCCCATCTGACCCAGCTATTACCCTTGTGGGTAATTCGCAGAAGAATTAAAAACATACCACAACAATATATGCCTACCCATATTTATAGTGACACAGTATATAAAAACTAAATTTTGGAAAAAAAGTCAAATGTCCATCAACCATGAAATGGAAAAAGATGGTTTTTAACACAATGGAACACCACTCAGTCATAAGGATAAACTCAAGACATTTCTAGGTAAATGGATATTCCTTGAGACTATACTCTTTATGTGAAAAAAATTGAACACACAAGTATAAGTATCACAGTTTCCCTGGTGTGAGAAACTAAAAGAGTAAATAACGACCAAATGTACAATAGATACTATGAAATAGGAAGAAATTGTTTAGAAGGAAGGAGGAACCAGCGAGGGAGAAGGGGAAAGGAAGGGAAAAGAAAAAACAAAACAAGAGTAAACAGCAACAAAGCTTTGTAAATAAGGAGGGGATGAAGGGTTAAAGGGAAGGGAGAACACTGGGCGAAAGAGGAATCAAAATTGTATCATATACAGGTACAAATTCCCTATGACAAATGTGGTCATTATGTCTATCTAAATATACCAATAATTTTTTTAAAAAACACAAGCTCCACACAACTTTAGAGAATAAGTTTTTCATTTTACATAAAACTTACGTAAGTTAAAAAGGGGCAACAGGGATTATTGATAGAGGAACCATATAACATAGAGTAAAATTTTTACTCAATTTATCTGTTAATTAAAGCATGTAAGCTGCAAACCAAGATTCTTTCTCATTAAACAATACTCCAGATGATGCAATTTGTGACCAACCAAATTATTTAAGATTTTTAATATTCCAAAGTATCAAAAGAAAAAGTATCAGAAGAAACAATCACTCAGCAAGAATATTTATTTATATACTCATGCCCTTATTTAAAAAAATCTTTTATAAATATTTTTTTAATATACAAACATTCTTTTATGATAGGCCAGAACATCTATTATCCCAACAATACAAAAGAAAAGATGCAAATTAGTAAGGGACTTCCTTATCTAAAAGTACAAAACTAAGCATACATACATATATATATATATATATATATATATAAATTACAAAACTAAGTATATATTATAAATTACAAAACTAATCTTATATATAGTTATATTTATTTAAATTTAAATTATATATTCAAATCTTTTTATTTCCATTCCATCCTTTGGCTGAATTTTATTAATATCTGTTCTTTGTAATCCTCTTATGAAAGGCATCATGACCCTATCACTCAAGCCAAATCTCCTGCTCCTTTTCCACCCCACTCACCTCTACTCATGAACTGTTAACAAGATATTTTCCTACATTTCTCAGGATTCAATTTCTTCTTCATTAGTATTCTCTTTCTCTGGAATTAATCACTTGTTTTCTTTTGCAATCCCATTTCTTCATAAGTGTGGCAAGTGAGATTTTAATTGCTCTGTCAGGTTTTTCTTTTTTCATCAGTGGTGACAGCTCTACATCTGTTTGTTTCTGAAGTTCTTGTATCATGGCCATAGTCTTATTCACAGTAGTGTAAATGCAACTCTTAAGTCTCTTTTTGCTCAACAGCAACAGGCTTAAAATGTGCATACAAAGTTTGGTATCAAGATTTTATAGCTAACAGTTCTTTTAAGAGTACAACTGCATTTTTTCTTGCTTGCTGAATCAGGATAATTAGTCTTGATTTTATTTAGTCTTGATTTTATATTCTAACCTGTACTTCTTTTAAATGGTTCAATTCATCTAGTTAGCTGGGTTAAGCCATCAATTCCAGTTTATCAATCTCCACCTCTATATTGAATATCTGACACTCCTCAGAACACACTGGCCACAATTGTAATCTGCCACAAATTCACATCCAGTTTGTGCATGCTATTTGATGATTAAAGATTATACCAATTTTAAAAATTAAACATTTAATTCAAGTGTGCCAAGTGTAATAAAAGGCTGAAAATAACAAGAGATTTCAATGTAAATAACAATTTAGATCCACAAGCAAATAAACCTGACCTTTTCAAGGGGCCTTCCCAAAGAGTTTCCAATCAGTTTCCAATCATTCAAGACTTCTTCAACTTTGGAAATAAACCTAGAAAAAAAGAGAAAAAACTTTCTAAATAAGTAACTGTACAATATTTCCTATTAGTACAATTTCTTTTCTTTTTATCTTATTTTTTGAGATAGGGTCTCATTATGCAGTTCAGGCTGGCCTTGAGCTCACTTTGTAGTCCACACTAGTCTTGAACTTGCAATGATCCTCCTGCCTCAGCCTTCAGAGTGCTGAGATTACAGGTGTGTATCCCCATGCTCAGCTGTACAGTTTCTTTTAAAAGGTATATTTCATATTCTTACGTCTTTTATTTTTCAACAGGGTCTCACTTACATAATTCAGGCTATTCTTGAACTCATGTATAGCCCAGGATCCTTCCTCAGAGTCCTAAGTGCTGACACTACAGAAGTGTACCACCACACCTGGCTATATTTTAACATTCTGATTAAAGAAGACTCAGTATTTTTAATATCATTAGCCTAATGTAGGGATATGAAGTAAAAGCAAAAATTCAGCTCATGAATTTTTAAAATTTTAATTCATTTAAGTCCACTGTTTATACAACAAAAGCTTATCTAAAAACACAAATTTTAAAAATGTAAACTAGTAACAAATATCCCTACTAAAATGATATAATAAATTTGAGACAGGGAGAAGTAAAAATTGACAAATTAAAATACTTTTAAAGACAATTATGAAATTAGTAATTATAAGCCATTATTACCATAACTGATCTATTTAAATGAACTTTTCTTTTAAATATATTTTAAGAATTCTCTGATTTGCCTCCCCTTCCAAAACAAAACATTGAGAACTTAGCTCATTAAATAAAACAAATTTTAAGAGATAGCTGACAAGACATTGCAAGTAAATTTGTCAGTTTTAAGGAATAATGGATGAAGAGATTTAAAAACTATTCACTCTGTAACTTTAATGATCAAAAAGAACTGAATTCTGACTAATATCATGCTCAACTTCAGTAAATAAAAGCTGCAGTCTAACTTCTTATGTAAGTTAAATATGAAGTAATCTAATGCAACATTGCTTCCTAAAACATCTAGGAAGTATTGTTAGAGTATTTCTAATCAAACTGTTCAAAGGAACCATACTTTTTCTTCAGTAACATTACAAATTAGTATTTAAATTTGTTTTAACATAGTAATAATAATGGTAAATTAGAATTTATGATTTCATTGAAACTTTTCATTAATCCCTCTTTAAAATTAAAAGCGGCATTAAGTCATATTGGGGCAGAGTCAAATAATTATTAGTTTTGAAAATGAGTACCTCAGAAGTTTACACATTTACAAAAGAGCAAATATTTATACCTGTAAGTTAGCAAAAATGTTTGTATAAAATATATACAAGGCGAGGATTTTGGTTTAGTGGTAGTAACTTACATAGTATGCAAGAGGACATGGATTCTATTCCAAGAATCAAAATAAAACAAATCCAAAACACTAGGTATACAATATACTAACGGTACAAATTGTACCTTACTTTAAGGTTCCCTTGCAGCAAACAAGTGGCATGTTCATTCAGTGAACAAGCATTCATTAAAAATTATATTTTGAAGAACATCTGAGGAAGCAAGTTCATGCCAAATGAAAAAAAGAAGCTACAAAAGTAAGTGTTTAATATGGTTTAATCCATACAATGACATACACATAAATTAGAAATGTCAAAAAAAATTATGGTAGTTATATGCTGGCAGTAGGTTTACAGACATTTTAAATTTTACTATGAGGTAATACAGTTATAATAAAAATAAGTATAGCTTTCAAAATACCATAAAATGCTTATATGAATTTTATCAGTACTAGCAAAAAATTCAGACTGTATCACCATACTAGTATCGAGATCTAACCAGAAAGATTCAGTAACTTTTTCCTTAACAGCACTCTACATCTTAGCTGAAGAGCAACTTCGGACTCCTTATTCTATATTTAGTTCCTCTGTTACAGGCTCTTTGGTTTCTTTCCCTTCCTAGCTCCTTTGTCAATTTCTAATTACAGACTCAATTGTATTATTTGAGTCACGCTTGTCTCTTCCCCCAAACTAAACATACAATGAGTAGGAACATATCCAGTTACCTACCACCATACCTCTAAATTCATTTCCCACACTGTATCTGACACATGGACATTCAGTAAATACTTCTTCAAAGGACAAACGATAAGAGTTACGGCTTTCTACTTAGTCCTATCAAATTATCTGTGTGGCATGTAACATACTGACAAGAAAGTGAGCTAAATGGAAATGAAACTAAAAGCAATAGTGATGGCTTGGAAATAGTTTTTCCGGCTGAACAAAGGTGTACAGAGTGATTTGAGAGTAAACAAAACTTTTTCTGACAGCTGGAGTGTCGCGGCTTTCTGACGCCGGCGAGCAGGTCTACTCAGACGCGAGACCCGGAAGAGCCCGCGGCTAACCCGAAAAGGAAAGCAGCAAAGACCCGGGGCCTACCAGTTTGACTCTTCCCGCAGGAGTGGCGTCACATGTGTTGTGTTTGGGTTGGGGAAGCTGAGGACGGACGCCAGGGCCCAGAGTTGCAGTAACCAAAAATGCGACTCACCTTTCCCATTCCGAAGCAGTGGTGAAGTCTGTAATCTCAAATACCTCGGACTCGGGCTGTGCGAAGGAGAGGAAAATAAAGGGTTTGAGTGGTGACGTGGAAGAGCGAACTCGATGACAAGGTTAGACAGGAAACAGAAAACTCACCTCACTGTCGGCCGCCATCTTGACGAGCGCCAGGGCGGTCGCTAGGGTTGCCGGGAAGAAGAGCCTGGGAAAGCGGAAGTGGGCGGAGACTGAACACAGCCCCGCCCCAAGGCCCCACCCTAGGTTTGGGAACTCTTGCCCTCACCTGGGAGGGTGCTTTTATTTCTGGAGTGGGAAGAATTTGGTATTCCCTCGAGGGTCCTTCTAGCTGATTTAGTAACATTTGAAAATTTTATGTAGCGATTGTAGGAAAGTAACAGAAGGAAGGTAAGACAAGACCCTAGATTCATGTGAGTAAAGTTCTATTTAAAAGTGCAAAGCACTGTGGATGGTTTCATTCAGCTTTTATTGATTACCAGACACTGAGCCAGGTACTATAAGTAAACTCACCTACCCCATGCTCTGAAGAACTTATCCAGTTCGGTTAGGCAGTGAAATATAATACCTATAACAGTTGTCTGGTTTGTGGGAAGAGCAGCAGGCCCTTCAATGAACTCTTCACTTTTCAAACAATCGAGGAACAGATATTAGGGATGAAATGATACTATGTCTATTATTTGTTTCAAAGCAGGGGAAGAAAGAAAGTGGATGGGGATAGAATGAAATAAAAGCTGTCAAAGATAATTGAGCTGGTAATCGTTGGAATTCGATGTTTATTATACTATCTTATAGTTTTGTTTAGATTTGAAATGTTTCATAATGGAAAACCTTGTACCTCATTTAATGAGTTTTGCAACCCACAGAGAGATGCTGGAGGAAATACAGCTTCAGTATTTCCCTCCCTTAAGTTTCTCTTTAAAAAAAAAAAAAACTTGAAAGAGAGACATCAGAGATTATATGATATAGGTAGAGTAGTGGAGGAAACTGGTCAGAAGATCAGAAGATTTTTTTGTGTGTGGTATTGTGCATGGAACTCACCTGTAAGAGAAGTGCTCAACCAAGCTATACCCCCAGCCTATGGTCAGAAGAATTTTATCAACATAGTTATCGCCAATTTCAAGCCTTAAACTCCTGTCTCTTGATGCTCTTAGTTTCTGTTACACTCTTGAGGGGCTGGATTACACCTTCAGAAGTCAATCACTATACTATGGTTCAGGGATATGAAGACGTAAATACAATTAGGGAAACTGGAAATTTGTCACATGAATAGAAAGAAGAGGCACTTCATGCGTCAGTATCACTGTTATAATGGCAATCTTGACCACAACCAATGTGGTGGAGAGCTAAAAGAGGCAGCCAGGTTAGTTGGGGGAAGGCTTGTAAGCAGTAGGAATAGCATTTCCAGAAGCTGGAGGGTAGGAAAGTCTGACCTGTTTAATGAACTGAACAAGGACCTGGCACCTGGAACACAGTGTTTATGATGAAGTTAAGAATTGTCTGGTATGGGCCAGACAATGTTAGGCCTTTTATTTAAAGACTGAACTTTTTTAAGTACAAGAGAAGACACTAAAATGTGAGAAAGAAATGGAACCTAATTTACATTTTGCAAAAATCTGGATGCAGGCTGAGGATTTAGCTCAGCAGCATAAGCGCCTGCCTGGCAAGCACAAAGTCCTGAATTCAATTTCCAGTACCAAAAAAAAAAAAAAAAAAGTCTATGGATTTAAAGATCAGATCTGAATTCAGCCATTTACTGACTATATGACTGTGGGTGAATTACTTAATGCCTCTAACTCTGTTTCTCCATTAATAGAAAGGAACTATTAGTAAAATAGGACTTGTAATACCTGTTACCACACAAGAGCACAATAAAGACTAAGTTTGGTCTTTATACATAAAATAATATCCTGGCATAGAATAGTGTAATAAATTATAGTTGTCACATTCATAATGAATATATCATGAAAACTAAAGAGTGCTACTAATATAGCCAGCATTGTTTTTTTCCCTTGCTGAGCCATGAAGAAGTTTCACACACACTAAGAACAGAAATTTAAAACAAAAACCTTAATGCTTGCCGAATAGAGTGAAAATTTAGAAACTATATGAAGCATCCCTATTAGGTTGCTAGGTAAAGTTTTCTTCCAAGATATTTTTGGCTTCTTCTCTTCTCCCTGGAGAAATTTTTAAAATAAGTTATTTGTTATAGTGAAGTGTGAAGCCAAGATGCTAATGATGTAAAATACCCAGGGGAGACACACTTTTATTAGATTTTCACCGGTTCAAAAAGCAGAAAAATTCTGTTTCTTCAGTATTAAGAGCTATTTTGCTCCACATCCAAAGGCAAGGGCTTTTTCTTATAAGCATGTTTCCTCTCTGGTATAATTCAGTTATTTCAAGATGTTACCAATAATGGCCATAGGGAGATATTTTGACACACAGGCAATTTAAGAGATTAGAAGCCTGGAAAAAATCACCCTCAGCTTAGTTCTCAGAGGAATGAGGTGGGGGCATGATGGTATAATTAGGTCTTGGTGATAGAGCAAACATTGTTTGTGAAAGAAGCAACAGCCATGGGACTGCACCACTCTCATCCATCTAGACAGCCCTGTGCAGGGAGAATCTCCATGTTGCTGTCACAGAACAATGCAGGAGGCTATGGTGGAAGAGAAAAGCAAACTGTAGAGCAAGAAATTTCATAAAGACATTCTCTAAACCAAAAGTACCAGGCAGCAATTTTTTTATTGATTCAGCAGTGTTTATTGAGTTTCTAGTGTCATGACATTATGGTCAAGCCTATGGAAGGTGTTAAAGAAAATAATCCTTGTGTTCTCACAGGCTGAGGACTGAGAGAAATGACGTTAACTGTAACATGGTTTGGAAAGGGACATGTAATGATTATCTAGCTTCTTAAAGCTCTTCGTAAAATAGGAGGTAGGAAAATGTTCAATCACTTCGGAACACACACACACACACACACACACAGAGTATCTTATAGTCTAAAAAACGTAGCCTACTGTTTTCTTGAACCAAAAAGCAGTCACCCAGATCAGGAAACCTCCAGAAGATTTCAACAGAAGTGATTCGGCCTTCATCCACTAGCCATTCATTCAGGTGTTCCATCATTTGTTTGTTATAAACAGGTACAATGTGCCCAGCACTATTCTAGAAACTGGGAAACAAAAATTTAAAAACAAGTTGCCTGTTTTCAGCAAGTTTCAAATATAAAGTGACTACATTCTTTGAGATAATAATAATAAGCCAAGAACATCTCGTTCTAGTCCTTAAGTTTTTAATTTGCCATCTGGTAGATTCAGACAGTATGATACTTGCTGACAGGTTGATTTAGTACACTCAAGTTTCTGTTTTTAAAATGCTTTACTGGGTCATAAACTCAGAATGCAGGAAATAGAATAATTTTAAAAAATCGATGGAATTTAGTAAAATTCCAGAGATACTACATATTCTGCTAAGCATGTTTCTGTGTCCATAGATTTATGTACAACTACTTACTTTATAAATACAATTCTTACTTAATCTCTAATATTTCCTTATTTGGGATAGTGAATTATTCCAAAGACAGAGGATTAATAAATGCAAAGTTTTAGGCCTAACTCTGACTTTCTTTTGGGTCACACTATTCTGAGTTCCAGTAACTACAATCATTGCAGTAATATCTTCAAGAGCCAACTGAGCTACACAAGTCCTTTGAAGTTTTACTCCATTCTAGTTACTCATGTTTAGAAATTTCTAGTTTAAAAAAAAAAAGAAATTTCTAGTTTTAAGCTTCTTCTATGCTGCTATAGTTAATCTAGTCTCTCCCATATGTGTCTGTTCTTTGGCGCTATCACTGTGTACCAGCGAAGGCAAAACCTGGGAATCTGGGTTTTAATTTAGGGTGTCAATGTGTACATAAGCAATAGGACTGTCAAGGCACAAATGATAAGCATAAAATAGATGACCTCCTTGACCATCCTTTAATCCTGATACTAGTTGTGTCAATCTTAAAGACCCATTCATGAGCTCTTATAGACCTATTTGTATGTAGCTAGATAGCTTTACCTTATTTTAATCAATTTTATACAAATAAAAATAATATTAATTTTGTTCCAAGTATTTTACTTCTGCTCACTCAGTTCTCACAGTAATTCTACAAGAGAGATATTATTGCCACATTGCACCATTTTACAGATTAGGAAACAGGCAAAAGGAGCATTGATAGCTTGTCTAAGCCACATACTTAGTAAGTAGTTGGACTGGCCCCTGAGCATATTCACTAAATCCTTCCATCACACAGGATCACACTCTCTGCATTATTTGACAACTGGCTTTTTAAACATAAAACATATGAGTTAAACACTTAAGACACTATATACAGTACTTTCCTCCTTTTTGTACTGTTGCATAGTACTTCCAAATTCAATGTTTGGAAGCACTATCGTATAAAAATTTTTTATTAGTGTCTATTTGCCATATATTGTGTTCACATTCGTCACAGGAAATTTGTATCTGTACATAATATACCTTGATTATTCTTTTTTTTTTGCCCATCCTCTTCCCCTTCCTTCAATACTTCTTCCTCTCCCCATTTACAGAAACTTTGTTTCCATTTTTCTTTCTATTCTTTGTGTTTTTAACCCCTTTCCCTTCCTTCCTTTCCTTCTCCCTCCTCTCTTTTTCTCATCCTATTTGAACATATTTTTCCTGCTACCCAATATCTGTGCTCCTTGTTTATCCTTAGGGTTTATCACATGAGAGAAATAATTTGCTATTTAAAATTGTGTCTCTTATTTATTTCACTTAAAACTATGTTCTTGAGGTGCATGCATCCATGTGTTTATAAATGACTTAATTTTAGCCTTCTTTATGACAGTGTACTATTCTATTAGATATATCAATAAGTACATTTCTTCATTTGATCTTAGCTAAAAGGCCAAGAAGAGACATCACATTTTCTTCTGTTGATGGGCTTATGGGATGTTTCCAAGATTTAGCTATTATAAATTGTGGCACTGTGAACATAGGTATGC